TTTTTTTTTTTTTTTTGCGGTACGCAGGCCTCTCACCGCTGCGGCCCCTCCCATTGCGGAGTACAGGCTCCGGACGCTCAGGCTCAGCGGCCATGGCTCATGGGCCCAGCTGCTCCGTGGCATGTGGGATCTTCTCGGACCGGGGCACGAACCCGTGTCCCCTGCATCGGCAGGCAGACTCTCAACCACTGCGCCACCAGGGAAGCCCTGAGAGGGCTTTTTTTAGGGTAGTGTTTTAGGAGTAGAATTATTGGTTCGTAATTCTTCAAAAATCTTTAACTTTACTAGATATTGTCAAATTGTTTTTCAAAGTAGATGTACCAGTCTACAGCCCCTCCCCCACCCCGAACTTTATGAGTTCCACTTACCCCAGCCATTACCAACACCCGGGGTTGTCCAGTGTTTAAGTTTTTGCCAAACTGGTGGCATAAAATACCTTGTCATGATTTAAATTTACATTTTCCTTTTGAATAGTGAAGTTGAACAGCTTTTTGTATGCTTACGGAAGACCTTATTTCTTCTGACTCTTCAGTATTTAGAGTTTTGCGACCAGATCATTTTGTTAGAAGATGGGAAAATCTGTGAAAAAGGAATTCACAGTGAGTTAATACAGAAGAAGGGGCGATATGCCCAGCTCATCCAGAAGATGCATGGGGAAGCCATACAGGTCATTTCCATCCCACCCCACTCTCATTCCTGACCCAACGGGGAGGACCACCCCCTGCATCCACAGCTTGTGTTTTCTCCCCAGGGAGTGTTGCAGGGCATAGCAAAGGCAGCAGAAGAGCTACAGGTGGAAGGTCGGGCCCAGACCACTTGTCCAGAAGAGGTTCTCAATGAAAATGCTGGTAAAAGTGCTGGGGAACAGAGTGAGAACCTCTACCTGCCTGCATCTTCCAGAGGCCCTGGCATTTCCTCCTGGATGAGAGACCAGGCCACGTCACTCATTGAATGGGGTCCCAGACATCTCACATACAGGCTACAGATCCAAGTATTTGAGGGCTGTGGGGAGTGAACTGTGCTGGTCAGGAGGCCTGAAGCGTCCAGGAAGTGAGTGTTGGTGGGGAAACAGCTGAGCATGTACAGAGGCAGAGGCAGGATGGGGGTAGCTTTGATCTTGAGTGGCTCAAATTTCAAACTTTGCAAGGTATCCGGGCCATTAATTCATTACACATTTTTTTTGAGAGCAAAGGTATTGAAAGTTAAAAATGATTTGGGTCCAGTCCTAGGCATCCAGAAGCTCATGGCCTTGCTCTTTTCTGAGACAAGGTAGCAGAAGAGAAAGTCTTTCATTTTTAAAACAAGACAAGTTCTGGATTTGAATTCCAGCTCCGCTGCTCACAAAGCTGTGTGACCTTAGCCAAGCAAGTTAAACTCTCTGAACCCTCACTGGCAAAAGTAGAGGTAATAGTGCTTACATTACAGGGTCGTAGTGGAGGTTAGAAGAGGTCAGTTATAGTGAAGTTCTCAGGACAGTGCCTGGCACATTGTAGGTTTCCGTCACCAATAGAGTCTTCAGCGGCAAAGATCAGAAACCAATTTGGGCAGAAAAATAATTTATTGGCAGAAAAGGGTGTAGATCATGGAATGAAAGGAAAAGTTGAATAACCAGGCCTCAGCAACTTTGGGGTCTAAAGTAGCAGGAACACGTACAGAATCCTTTTGAAGAAAACCTACTCCAAATGTTTCCCATCTAGTATAATTTCCCTCAAAATTAAAATTCCACAAAGAGAGCCCTCTTCTCCAGGGAGAACTGTGGTGTTGCTATTAGAAGAAGGGAGAGCGTCAGGCAGAAACAACAGACGTCCCCCCGCAGGGCTGTCTCCTGTTATTGTTGTAGTTGTCATTGGCAACATCTCCTGATATCTCCAGGCACCTGGTCTCTCTGCCCTGATGTAGACCAAGAGTCTGCTTGGACTGGTGTCACAACTTTTTTTGAGGAGTTGTCTCAGAAGCGTATTGCTACAAAGCATCTTAGCAATCATCTATAAGCCCGCCAGTTGTCAGATGAGGAAACAGAGAGGTTAAGTGATTTGCTTGAAGTTGTACAGTATCATGATGATAATTCTGGAACCCAGGTTTTCTAGTCCTAGGTCACTGCTTTCTTCATTCTCTCCTGCTGTCTCTCTCAAGCCACCAAGCCCCTGGGAACCGCAGGCCCTCCAGGGTTTATTGAATGGCTGGTGATGGACCCCCTTTTCAGACTTTGGAGCCGGGGCAAACCTGGAAACCCTGCTGGTTAGAGTCAGACTTGGGTGGGGCACTGGGTGGCAGCCAGAACAGAAGGCTTTGCAAGGACTCCTCTTGACCCGGGAAGGAGATACAGGAGATTGGGAGGCATACTGTTTCCTTCCTCTTTTCCCTGATCCAGCGCTAGAAAATCAGCTCACACAGAAGGAGAAGATGGAAAAAGAGTCCCTGAAGTGGAGCATCTACCACCACTACATCCAGGCAGCTGGAGGTACGGGCTGTCAGATGCTCCAGGACAGGTCTATCCCTGAAGCCGGGTCAGACCAGAATGTGCAAGGTCATGTGAGGTAGAGGGACCCAAAGGGTCACGCCATTCATGAGTTTAACTTACATAATCCCAATCATACTCAACTATAGTAACTCTACCACCATATTCAATGCCAGAAGTTATGTTTTCATGTGTACTTGGCATTTCAAAATCAAATAATGGTAAGACATAGACACGTAAATTATTGTCGCGAAGGGAAAAGTATTACTATGGATCCCTAGAAATAGGCATGGTATGCCATGAAGGGGAAGCACCAGGGTTGGTCAGGAGGCAGAGGGCCGGTAAGAGAAAGCATGGCCCAGAGCCTTTATTAGGTTTTTTGTGGGAAGGAGAGGGTGAGGCAGGGTAGGTACACTGAGTAAGCTTAGGATTGGATGGTTCAAACATTTCTGGCAGGATCTGGGCTATAGGGTTGGTCCGAGTTGTCTGGTACCTGGTCCTGAGGTGATTTAGGGCAGGGGGAATATTGGTTTGGTGTGTGAGAGTCTGCTAAAAGAGGTGATTGGGAGTGTGGGCTGTAGATTGGTTGGTCTGTATATCAAAGATGTCCTCACAAGGAGTCATTTGCTCTCTCTAGGAATTAGCTAACCTTGGGAGGAGCAGTCTTCAGTATTAAGACCCCAAATAACACAGCGTTAGGAATGCAGAAAATAAGAAAGTATTGTTAATACTTTCTAACCATACTCTTTATTTCAGTGTTTTACAAACTGCTAACCATACTTGCTAACCATACTCTTTATTTCAGTGTTTTACAAACTGCAGGTCCTGGCCCACTAGTGGGTTGTGAAATCAATTGAGTGGATTGTAAGTAGCAATGAGAATAGAAATGGGAATAGAGTAGAAAATATCTGCATGCATCACAAAAGTAACGTTGGCGAAGATTTCATTTTGGTATGTATCAAACTGCATTTCTGAAGGTGGATGGCAATTAAAAGTTTCAAAGCTACTGCTTTATTAAATGGTGTATGTTACCAAATTCACACATATAACTAAACAAATTCATGCCATTCATGGGTTTAACTTACCTAATCCCAAACATACTCAATTATAGTAACTCTACCACCATAGTCAATGCCGGAAGTTATGTTTTCATGTGTACTTGGCATTTCAAAATCAAATATGGTAAGACACATAGACATGTAAATTATTGTCACGAAGGGAAAAGTATTACTATGGATCCCTAACTAAACTATACAATGTTGTAAACACAAAACCAAGTATATGATACTGTGCTTCTTGAGTAATTTAATTTTTGATAGTATTTTGACTCCACGCCAACTTTTTATTCTTCATTGACTTTGGAACCTAACCCTGGGTAAGGTGTGTCTTCTCTCTACCTGTCTAGGGGAGGAAGAGGTAGGCTACACATAGGAGATCACCATCCTCACCTCTTCCACCGTGGGCATCCCTGCAGGATGTAACACAGAGGCTGACCAAAGCAGCGGAGCAGCAAATATTTGTGAAATGCATGAATGAATCAAGAAACCAGTTGATCTGTATTCAGGAAGTACCTATTATGGACTAGGCTCTGTGCTGAGCTCTGGAGGCAAGGGGGTATAAAGTCACCTAAGAAACTACCCTGTAATCTAGTTGGAGAATTAAGACATTGCATCCACCAGTAGCAAGAGAGATCTCTGGGACCAGGAATAATCTCAGATGTCATCAAAGAGAGGTGGCCCTTGAGTGGAGCTTAAGGAGGGATAGAATTCAGGAAAAAGAATAAGGGCATGGGACACAGACTGGAGAGGTGGATAGAGTGCCAGGGCAAGAGGCAGATGCCAAAGGACGGCGTGTACGCTTTGTTTTCTCATCCTTGGCTTCAGCACTCACCAGCTCTGTGACTTTGGGCAAGTTATTCCTCTCTTGGAGACTCAGTGAATGGGGATAGGAATTCCCAATTCAAAAATAATGCATATATTTAGTACTCTGCCTGGTGCATGGTACCTGATAGTACCTATCAAGTGAAAGGAAGCTGCTGTTTTTGTTTTGAACGTTGAACCCTCAGGACCTTCGTAAGGGGAACTAACTTCTCTAGAACACTGCTTATGCACCAGGCACTGGGCTGGGTGCTTGACACATGTTACCTCATACTATCTTCAGAGCAACCCCTCATGTGAGGCTGGCAGGGCTACCATCACCATCTTATACGTAGGGGAGTGGAATGTCACTGACATTTGGTCCCTCTCCCAGGCTCTCATAGCTTGTAAGTAGTAGAGCCAGGATTTGAACCCAGGGCTTTCTAACCTTGTTGCCCAGCTCTTTCCAGTCCTCTAAGGTGTCTGAGGGAGATCCAAGTGCCTGGGATGGCTGTGCACCTTCTTTCGGCACCTGTGTGTCACCTTTCTCTCCCTCCCCAGGTTACCTGGTCTCTGCCATGGTTTTCCTCCTGGTGATGACGGCCTTCTTCAACAATGTTCAACTTGTGGTGGCTGAGCTATTGGCTGGAGCAGGGCTCAGGGGTGAGTGCCATGGTGGGGGTGGGGTGCATTTCTGTGGGCTTGGGGGTGGGGGAGTGGGGGGCTTCTTATTCCTTGGGGCCCTGTGTGCACGGGTTAGGGAAGCCCATGGCAAGCCCAGTGCCTGCCCTTGCGGTGTTGATGAAAGGAGCTCTAGAGGGAAACTCTGGGAGCCAGAACTCTGGGGCTCCCTCCTGGTCTGGCCTCTTGTGTTCACAGAGCGTGTGATCACCTATGCAGTCTCATAGGGACAAAACCAAGAGGTTTCTGTCCCCAAACAGCTCCCCAAGATTGCTTTACAGTCTGCCTGAGTGACTTTCCTTTGGCAGCTGTTTTGCCTTCTTGCTCTGCGTTATTTAAAACAAGCTTCTGTACTCCGCGTTGCGGGGCCGGGAGGCCATGCCCAAGATGGACATGGCCAGACATTAGTTAGAGAAGGGAAAATAGGTTTTATCCATCACTCCTGATGGCAGGGAAAGAGCTGAGCTCCAGTCTGTTTGCACAGAGGTGATTTGGGCTTTTTAAAGGGAGAATGATGGAGAAGGGAAAGCAGGGGCTCAGTTGCGTCAGAGAAGTGAAAAAGTACAAAAGGCTGGTGAGTGTCAGTGTGATTAGGCCAGCTGTGTCTGTAGCCAGCAAGCTGTCTGTCCTCCCACAGAGACTGGGAGACAGAGGCTCTGTCCTTTCTGATGATTACATTTCAAAGGAATGGTTCTCAGGTCCTTAAGAGAGATGCTTCTGAGTTGCAGGAGTTACATAGTCACAACTGTGAGCCCTTCTTAGTAAGTGCTCTGAGGAAGGGAGATCAGGGACCTGTCATCAGGTCCAGGCTGGAAGAAACAGTAAATTTTCCTGGCAGAGGCATTTTAATGAAGATGGGGGGACCTGGGATCCTCTGAGTGACATGCCTTAGCCTCTAGAAGCCATGCTAGAATTTGATCAAGCCTTTTAGTGCAGGAGTATGCACAGAGTTGTTCCATGTTGAGGGTTCTGCGGCCCTCAGCCATTACGTGCCACGTTAATTCATTAACCTTCCCAGCTCATTCTGAGGTAGGTGTCACTGTCCGCATTTCATATTTGCAGAAACAGTGCTTAGAGTGGATAAGGAGGCTGCCCTGAGACGTGAAGGTGCCTTGAACTCTGTGCTTTGAATCCAGGCCATGTTTTTCAAATGCTCTATTTGGTTAACTTTTGAGTCATTTGTCAGATACAGTTTGATCAGGAAAGCAGGAGCCATTTGAAATATTTAGAGCTTCCAAAGATTTAATACACCAATTAGAGGCTATACAGCCATTGGGAGGGCTGGAGGGGAGAGGGGAAGCAGGTTCCAGTTGTCTCAGAAGCAGGCAGCACTGAGGGGGCTGATCCTTGGAAGGATACCTGCAAACCACTGGCCGAACTCCATGTGCCATGCACCTGTCCTCAGTTGCCACCAGCGTGTGATGGCTTCTTCTCTTTGAACCTTTAGATTTCCTGTGAGTGCCTCTCCTTGGCAGAATCTAACCTCAGACCTTGCTGGCAAGGAGTCTGGCAAACCTAGTTCCCAAGCTCTCCCCTGAATTGCAGTGGAGAGTGTGGAAGGTGGCAGAGGTGATGCTGGATGATCATCTAGCACAGATTTCTAACACCACAGAGTGAAGTAATTTATCAACCATCTTCTACACTGACAGAAGAAAAGAGGCCACATTAGACAGCAGGCTGCCTTGGGACAAAGATGCATTGAGAGAGGGATGAATAGAAATCCTAAAGGTTGTGGGGTTGAGTTTAGAGCAGTCAGGGTGGAGTGGGAGATAGAGTGGAGGCAAGAGCTAGAGTCAGGGAGACTGCTGTTGTAGTGGTCCAGGGGATAGAAAATGAGGGCTTAGTCCAGGGCAGGGCAGTGAGGAAGGAGAAGGGAAAAGCAACAGTGCTGAGCAGGGAGGTTGTAATGTATAGTTTCACCTTCTACCAGCTACTGAGTCTTAGGTAGCCCCAGGAAGAAGGATTTTTCTCCCTGCTGAATTTCACCCTGGTCTGAGCCTCTAAAAAGAAAACTCACAGTTTTCCTCTATCCACACACAATGTTTCTGATACCCACTGTGCAGGGTTTTCCCAACATCAACCAGTTCTCCAACTCCCTGGACACTAGCTGGGTGTACTACAGTTCAATTCAATTCTGACTCTACTTACCTGGAGTTAGCACAGACCCCACAGGTTAAGGGCTCAGTTCCACAAGACTGCTCCCATTTTAGGTGCCAACCACAAGACTGACTTTCTGTACTTCTGATGAATCAGCTATAAATTGGGGATTCCCACGACTGCCTCTTTGGGTTTGATAATTTGCTAGAATGGCTCACAGAACTTAGAGAAATATTTTAACCAGTTTTTAAAATAAGGGATATAATAAAGGATACAGATGCACAGCCAGATGAAAATGTACATAGGGTGGGGTCCAGAAGCGTCCAAAGTGCAGGAGCTTCTGGCACATGGATGTGTTCACCCACCTGGAAGCTCTCCGAGCCCCGTGCTTTAGGGATTTTTATGGTGGCTTCAACATGTAGGCATAATCGATTATTAACTCAATTTCCAGGCTCTCCCCACTTCCCAGAGGATGGGGGCAGAGCTGAAAGTTCCAAGCTTGGACTCATGGCTTGGTCTCTCTGGTGACCAGCCCCAATCCTGAAGCTATTTAGGGGCCCCCAGCCACTAGTCATCTGATTAGCTGCAAAAGACTCTCTTATTGCTCCAGAGACCCCAAAGGTCTTAGAAGTGCTTGTGTCAGGAACCAGAGTCAAAGGCCAAATATTACCACAAATGATGCTCTTAGCACCCCCATCACTTGGGAAATTGCAAGTATTTTAGGAGCTCTGTGCCAGGAATCGGGGACAAAGCCTAAGCATATTTCTTATCATACCACAGCCCCTGCCCTTTCTTGAAGACCGATAGCAGTCAAGAGAGCAATAGGACCACTGCAGACCCAGGTGACGTATTGGACAATCCTCAGCTGCCCTTTTACCAACAGGTGTATGGCCTCAGCGCCCTGTTCGCAGTCTGCATGGGCTTCTGCACCTCGGCGGCTTTCACCAAGGTCACGAGGAAGGCACCCACAGCATTGCACAACAAGCTCTTCAAAAAGGTATGGGCCTGTGCACTGGGCGTGGCCAAAGGCTGAGCCCTGACCTTGCTCAACTTTTTTTTTTTTTAATTACCGGACTTCATATTTCTTGAGCGGTTTTTGGTCTACAGAAAAATTGAGCAGAAAGTACAGAGTTCTCTTTTATCCCTCACCACATCCTCAGTCTCTCCTATTATTAATATCTTGCTTTAATGGGGGACATCTGTTACAATTGATTAGTCAATATTGATACATTATCAACTAAAGTCCATAGTTTACATTAAGGTTCACTCTTTGTGTTGTACATTCTATGGGTTTTGACAAATGTATACTGGCATGTGTCTACCATTACGTATCATACAGAATAGTCTCACTGCCCTAAAAATCCTCTTTGCTCCACCTATTCATCCCTCCCCCTCCCTTCCCCCAGATGCCTGACAACCACTGATTTTTTTGCTGTCTCCATGGTTTGGAGAATGTAATGTCATATAGGTGTAAGTGTACGCTGGGTCACTAGCTGGGTGGGAGCAGGCCAGAGAATGAGATAGGTGCATTGAAACTCTCCTACCAGTGGAGGCATGATTGTAAAAGTTTAGTGTCCCTTGCTGGAGGGTCAACCCTCAGCTACAAATGCTGACCTCCGTTGGCTGAGCACTGTCACATAAAGGCTTGTTTATGATTCCCTTAAGTTCCCTTTGAAGTGGGTATTTTAGCCTCATCTTACATATGAGAAAACTGGAACCCCACAAGTGTTATGGTTAGAATGTGTGTTGTGGTGAGAATACCAAATTGTCTATGGTATTTCACTACCTCTTGGAAATATCCTTTTTCTCTCTCACTTATCAAATATTACTATGTGCCAGGCTCTGGGGTGGGCATTGAGTTTACAATGGTAAATGAACAATACAAGTATGGTTTGGGTCATCATGGCCTTATAGTCTAAGGAGGGAGAGGGACAAGAAAATAGGCTGTTGCAATATGGTGCACAGAGTTACCCACGGGGTGGGGCACACAAGAACATGATGCACCTAACCCCAGCTTGGCAGTGGTGGAAGGAAGGTAGGAGTCCAAGAAGGCTTCTTGGAGGAAGTGACCTCTATGCTAAGACCTGAGTATGAATGGGATTTCTCCAGTTCAAGATTAAGAGGCGAGCAGAAGCAGAGCATTTCCAGGGAGCTGCATGGAGTTCAGGAAGGCTGGAGCTCAGAGCTGTAGAGAGGGGGCTTCTCAGAGGGATCTCGGGAGGCAAGGAGGCCACCCATCATTCCTTGTAGATTGAATGCAAATTGCATTTTAATTTTAGGAGGGTGAGGCCAGGGCATTTCCCCACATCTCAGATAAAGCAACTGGCTTGGTGGAGCCAGAGGCAGGAGAGGGGAAATTCTACCCAAGGCCTGGCACTCTTCACCACCTGGCCTGTGGTGGTGACACCGGCTAGCTGGTCTCTAAGCTTCTGACTCTGCATTCCCAGATTCTAGAAATATCTAATGCCCAGGCCTCAAAGAGATATTCTGTATTTTAATTTTAAGAAATGTTCAAGTTTTTTCATTGGAAAATACATTTCATATTTAAAACATTTTCCTTTTTCTCATCCTTTTATGGCTTTATTGATTTTAAATTTGCCTTTGTAGTTTTAAATAATCACAAGTAAAGGACAAATCTCTGAAAAAATTGACTCAACTGCAAAATCTACAAACTGCAAAAACATAAACAGAACCAGATTATTTTGATACTTAAGGAGGCAACCAGAGCCCCTGTGGCTGTGTCCCCACCATTTTATTCTAATCCCTCGTGAGAGTGGGCTCTCACAGACCCCTTTCATGCCACAGCTGAGCTGAGTCCTGCTCCCAAGCCCTTCGCCCTGAACCCCGCTCCCCATGAGTGCTCAGCATCCTAGAGAGGGTGATTGTTTTAGTCTTTGATTTGTCACAGTGATTGTGACAATTCTTTTTGTTTTAGTTAGCTCATGTATTTAACAAAAGATTCTGGAGATAAAATTAAAGACAATTTAGAGGCAGGAAAAGAAAACAAGGAAGCTCACAGTCGGCCCCTCTGAAGTTTGCTGCTCCCCACTTGAGACGGCCAATGAACTATACTTGGTCAGCAGGACCCAGGTGTTTGCCGTAAGGGCTGCTGTGAGTAAGGGATATTTCATGACTCAAATAATTATAATTTATTAATAGGCAAAATGTATTTTCTTCCTTTCTCCCTTCTCCTTCCATTGCTTCCTTTAGTTTTGGCTTTATTAGATACTATTAACTTCTATTCATTTCTTTGTTTTGTGTTACGGCTTGAGAAATACATGGGGAAATGAAAGTGGTCAGTGGTCAGCAGGTCCATGCCTTGACCTTTTCAGAAATCAGAAATGCCTCCAGTGAAGAGCATGGCTGTGCTGGGGGTGAGGGAAGCCTTGGGAGGCCTGGTCCTGTCATGGTTTTGTCGTTAACTACTTGGGTGACCTTGAGCAAGTCCCTAAGCTGCTCCCCCTTCTCTGGGCTTCAGTTTCCTCATCTGTAAAATGAGGAGGATGAACTAGATGGTTTTCTTAGAACTTTTCTAATATGAAATGCTCTTTGATCTCCAAAGGACCTCACATCCACTGCTTTTAGAGGTCAAGCTGGGATGCCACCTTCAAGAAGGGGCAGTCATGGTTAAAATCTACCCAAGATTCCATCTTATGCAATTGCAGTGGAATGGCTGCTACTAATTTTTGGTGATACTGAATGAAATGGTCCCATCTTTTTTACTGAGAAAAAAGTAAGAGTAAGAGTTGAAAAGAAATGTAAGAGTTAGTATTAATAGCAATACCAGGAGGCAGGTTTGTTCTGAGGACTTTTAATGTATTATCATTTCCTTCCTTTTTATTTATTTTTTTGTTTTTATTTATTTATTTTTTGAACATCTTTATTGGAGTATAATTGTTTTATAGTGATGTGTTAGTTTCTGCTTTATAACAAAGTGAATCAGCTATACATATACATATATCCCCGTATCTCCTCCCTCTTGCATCTCCCTCCCTCCCACCCTTTCCTTCCTTTATAAAATTATAGTTTTATCAGGATATAATTCACAGACCATGAAATTTACCCTTTTAACTTGTATATTTTTAATATACAATAATATAATATACAATAATATACCCTTTTATTATTTTTTAAAATTTATTTATTTTATTTTTGGCTGAGTTGGGTCTTCATTGCTGTGCATGGGCTTTCTCTAGTCATGGCGAGTGGGAGCCACTCTTTATTGTGGTGTGCGGGCTTCTCGTTGCACTGTCTTCTCTTGCTGCAGAGCACGGGCTCTAGGCACTTGGGCTTCAGTAGTTGTGGCACGCAGGCTCAGTAGTTGTGGCTCACGGGCTCTAGAGCGCAGGCTCAGTAGTTGTGGCTCACGGGCTCTAGAGCGCAGGCTCAGTAGTTGCGGTTCACTGGCTTAGTTGCCCCTCAGCATGTGAGATCTTCCCGGACCAGTGCTCGAACCCTAGTCCCCTGCACTGACGGGTGGATTATTAACCACTGCACCACCAGGGAAGCCTGATAATATACCCTTTTAAATTGTATATTTTAGTATATTTGCAGAGTTGTGCAATCGTCATCACAACTCTGAAGCATTGTTATCCCCATTTTACAAATGAGGACACTGAGACTCAGAGGGGTTAAGTAACTTGCCCACAGTCCCATAGTAGTAGGTGGAAGAGCAGGGCAGCCCTGGAGTCCAGGCAAATTGACTCTGGAGCCCCTGCTTTTAACCACTGCTCTATGTTGCCTTCCCTGAATACCCTTCAGGCTGCATCCTGTACCTCTTCAGAGCCTGAGGTTACCTGGTGTCTTCATCAAGCCCCAAGCAAGGCCTGCAGCCAGCCTCATGACCTGGGTTGCTTTTGTCCTTGCAGGTGTCCCGCTGCCCCTTGTGTTTCTTTGACACCACCCCAACAGGCCAACTCCTGAACTGCTTTGCAGGGGACTTGCATGAGCTGGACCAATTCTTGCCCACTGTGGCTGAATAGTCCCTGCTCGTGATTTTGGTGGTGACCACCATCCTGATGATTGTTAGTGTGGTGTCTCCCTTTGTCCTGCTGATGGGAGTCGTAACACTCATTGTTTGCCTCGTTTATTTTAGGTGAGTGGGTTCTTTCCGCTCGTGAATGAGGTTTGTGACTTGGGGTATGAGTCTAGGACCAACCTAGAATTGGAGGGTCCCAGAGGCAGGTGGCCCAGGTCACTCACTCCCATTCCCGATGCAGAATGTTCAAGAGGGCCATCAATGTGTTCAAGAGCCTGGAGAACTACAGTTCCCCTTTATTTTCCCACATCCTCACCACTCTGCACAGCCTAATCTCCATCCATGTCTATGGAGAAACTGAAGATTCCATCAGCAAGTGAGTCCCTCTGCTGTCTGAGGGTGATGGGGACTCTGGGGGTGGTGGGGCACAGGAAGCCAGGAAACAGAGCATCTGGAAATAGGATCATCTTCAGAAGAATCAGAGAGAACTCTGTTTTATCCCATTTGTTTCTCCGAACCTCCGGAACCTCATCTGGAAGATGGTGCTTATAAGAATAAAAAATGTAAGTGATATGAAAAATGCTTGTCAACCTTAAAGATCTGTGGCTATTATATACATATATCAATATAATTAATGGTAAGATGTGTTACTGTGTTAGCACTTACTGCATTGGTTTTCTTTTTTCTTCCGCTTCCAAACAGGTATCTAAATATAATAAAATAATAAAAAACAAGGGCTCTGGGCTTCCCTGGTGGCGCAGTGGTTGAGAGTCCGCCTGCCGATGCAGGGGACACGGGTTCGTGCCCCGGTCCGGGAAGATCCCACATGCCGCGGAGCGGCTGGGCCCGTGAGCCATGGCCGCTGAGCCTGCGCGTCCGGAGCCTGTGCTCCGCAACGGGGAGAGGCCACGACAGTGAGAGGCCCGCGTACCGCAAAAAAAAAAAAAAAAAAAAAAAAAAAAGGCCTCCTCAAAAAAACAACTATTTTCTTCACTATTCACAGCCACAGATTTGCCTTCTAATGTTTGTTGCAACAAACAAACAAATCCTACAATTGTTGCTGAAGTTTAATTGTGTAACATAAACTTATCTACTTGTAAAGATCAGTCAAACATGGTCTATGCTGAACCACAAGAAGCTTACCGTCTAATGGGAGACAGGAGACACAGACGTATGTTTTTGTAATAATACAGTGTTGAATATGATAAGACAGCATAGGAGAGGAGCAGGTAAAATGCCCTGGGGGTTCAGAGGAGAAAACGACGACCCACATCTGGGGATCAGGGAAGGCTTTGGGGAGGAGGCAGCATCTGAGGTGGCCTTGAAGCCTGGGAAAATTGGGGCACGTGAGATGGTGTGTGCTCTGTTGGCTGAAATATTGGATGAGTCATGGTGCCAGCTCTCCCAGTGGCACTGGAGAGACCCAAGGACTGCGCAGGCACTAGGACTAAGGGGATCCTGGAGTGACACATTCATTCAGTCAACACTGAGAACCTACCAGGATACAGCAGTAAACAAGGTGGATATGTACAAGGAAGGGATCACTCCCCTCCACTCACTCACAGATCTGGGCATGTATTCATTCTCATTGGCCCAGTTACGGTAACTTGCCCACCCTGGACCAATCATCAGGGCCAGGGGAAGAGAACTGCTGATAGTCCTAAATCGGTCAGAGACCACTCCTAGATCTGGGGTCAGGGGAACTCCATGGCTGAGAAAGAGGTAGGAAGGAATCCGCCCTATTTTCTTTGTTGGCTCTTTGATGAGAGTGGGGAGCTGGATGCTGGAGGAAGCAACCAGTGTCCGCCTCAGGAAACCCTGGGTTAGACAAACACATGTGGCTTTCAGGTTGTCCTTTCCTTCTCAGGTTTAACACGCTGACGGATGCACAGAATAACTACCTGCTGATGTTTCTGTCTTCCACGCAACGGGTGGCACTGAAGCTGGAGCTAATGACCAGCATGGTGACCTTGATGGTGGCCTTGTTCACGTTTTTTGGAGTTTCCTCTGCCCCCTATTCTACAAAGCCATGGCTATCAGCCTTGTCCTGCAGGTGAGGGAGGGACTCTCAGATGGCAGGTGGTGGCCTGTGGTCTATGGTCAGACTCAGGGGTCCATGGGACTTTGATCACACCTTGGGTTTTGGCCGTTTGTGATCTTACAAACGATGTGCTTGGCTTTCTGAATCCGCAGCTTTGTTCTGGTTCCTTGTCACCTTTGAACTGAGAAGTCTGTATTTAAAGGTGTTTAATGGAATCATAGAATATTGAGATTGAAGGGGAGCCCACAGGCAACAGAGTCCAACCCTCCTATTGTGTAGATGGGGAAATTGAGGCTCAGAGAGGGGAAGGAGTTGTCTGAACGGACAGAGCGTTATAAGTAGAGCCAGGGCAAGACCTCTGACCTTTTGGTTTCCTGTCTGGTGTGTTTTCACTTTACTATTAATACCCTGATTCATTTGTCAAACTTTTCTGAGGTATCTGGGCGAGGGAGCTGTGGAAAATGTAGGTTTCCCAGTCCTCCCCTGGAGCAGGCCTCTCAGACTTCAAAGTGTATAGGCTTGAAACCAAGCTCTCGGCCCAGCCTGCCAGGCTGATTCAGCCAGGCCTGTGGGGCTGACAGGAGGGCCACGCTCCAGAGCATAGCTGGAGGGATTCGGAGTCAAGTCCTTGTCGGGCGGGGTCTTGGAATCTAATTTTAAAAATGGGTTCTCAGGGGGACCCTGGTGTAGCAGTTGGCAGGCCTCATGGTCTGAGTTCCTCCATGCCAGGCAGTGGGGCCTGGGGAAGGGCTCTCCATGAAGGGCCGTGAGGCCAGATGCTGGCTCAGGGAACCCTGGCCGTCCCCTCCCCCAGGGGTACTCATTAACTATCCTCTCTGGATGCTTTCTCTCTAACTGGGCTTAGGTCTCGTGTGCCCCATGCTGAGGCATCCTTTTGGGTGCAGAGGGGCTCCCATGTGCTCCTTGTTGAGCCCTGTGGCAGACACATGTTTGCACACACATACGGTGCTGTGCCCACATGCCCATGCCTGTGTGCAGACCCTTCCGAGGGCGCATGGGCCACGCAGGAGGCTGTGCAGTGTTCATGCCCACAGAGAGCTGCCCCGTGCCATAACCAGGGTATTGGGGAGCTTGCACTGAGCCCACGCCCTGCTGGGTACTTGCTGTGCTTTCTTCCACTGAACTCTCACCACCTTCCATGAGATGCGGCCAAGTGGTTAAGAATGTGTGGTTTGGAATGTGCAGGTTCACACCAGGCTCTGTCCATTATCAGCTGTGTGACTTTGGGGAAGTCTGTTACCCTCCTTATGCCTGGGATTCCTCTTATATAAAAGGGAGATAATAAAAGTTCTGAAATCATGGACTTGTGAAGAATGTATGTAAACTTGAGGGTTCATGCATGTTAAAAACCTTGGCCCAGAATAAATGCTGGATAAATGTTTGCTGTTATTGTTCCTAGCTTACAGATAGGAAACTAGAGTTTCTGGAGTTAATTTGCCCATATTCCCACAGCTGCTGAGAGACAGATTTGTCCATGGTGGGGCACACTCTTCTCTCTCTCTTTCTTTCTCCTGCTCTCTGACACACACAAACACATGCACACATGCCCCAGTACAGAGTTGGCCCTGAGCCTTCCAGAACTCTGGGGAGAAGTCCCACACTGGAGTCCTGGGGGACGCAGAGTCACTAAAGCCAGAGATGCCCCTGCCTGCTGCACCCTGTGCCCAGGTCGTCCAGTGCTGGTTCAGGAAGCAGGTGGAGGCTTAGCTCTCCCAGGAGCACCATGTATACAGGTGTCCACTCAAGGTCGACCAGTTGTCCCACCACAGGCCACCAAGTAGGAGCTCTGCCTGGGGGTGTGATGACGTCAGAATGGCCCCAGGTTCATCCTTTCTTCTCAACATCTGCTGCCCTGTTTGAGTGTCTCATCTCTATCCTGGGTAACAACCTCCTAGCCTCCCTGCCTCGCCCACCCCCGAAACCCCTTCCCATCCACCTTCTACACTCTCTCCAGAGTGATCTTTAATTCTAGTTTTCCTCATGTCACTGCCTTGGTTAGAACCTCTAGAGACTCCCTGTCTCCTTATGCACCAAACCTAAGCCATGGACCTACGTTCCAGGCCCTCAAATCTGGCCTCAGACCCCACATGCACTCTCTCCTCTGGTCAAACTGGTACTTTGACTTCTGCATGCACTCTTGAGGAAATTCAGGCTTTGGGAGGCAGGTATCACACACCATGTTGCTTTGTAGCCCTAAGAGTTTTCTTAGTAAATATTAGAGATGTTTCTGGTTGCAAGCCAAAGAACCAGTTCAAAATGGCCTTGACAATCTGGCAACTTATTATCCTATGTGACCGGAAGGCTGGGGTAGGGCTGTTCTCTGTTGGCTGATTTACTGGCCTAGCATGAACCCATGATCATTTGATCTTTCTGCTCTGGCCTCCACGCCTGATTTTTGTCCTCAGGATTGTCTACTCAAGTTCACAAAATGGTTGCTGAAACCCAAAGCAGCACATCCTCACCCAGAAATTGCCAAAGACTGGAGAGTAGATAACTTTTTCCATGTGTCCCCTTGTAAGAACAAGGAGTAGCTTCCTGGAATGCTCACATCTGAGTCTTCCTTGTGCTTTGTTGGCCAGAGCTGTGTCGTGGCTCACTCCTAAACCAGTCATTGGCAAGAGGAGAGAGATTAACATGAGTGGTTTGGAGTAACCAAGCCTTCCTGGAACTCCAAGCTGTAGACACCTGAACATAACAGAGGATGTGTTAGCAAGGAAGGAAGAGGGGACCAGCTGTGGATAGGCAATCAACTGTGTCTGATATCCCTTCCCAGCTCAGTATCGTTTCAGGATAGTGATCCCTTCTCTGACTTATATAGGCTTTCCTTCCCTGGCCTCCCTGGTCCGTACATGCCCTTTGCTTTAGCCGCAGTCAAATGGCCTGCAGGGTCCTGAATGTATGCTGCCACTTTACTACTGTCAAGACTTTGTCCCTCTGTTAGGAACGCCTCTCTCCACCTGTGTTTAGCTGGCTAAATCCCACCTCTCCTTAAAAATGTAGCTCCAGTGCCAACTCCTCCAGGAAGCCTTCCCTGTGGCCCTTGTCTGGTGACTGTCCCCTGGCCACAACGATGCTGTGGGCTGACTCTGTCGTGCTGCCTTCTCTGCTGGCCTATCTCTCCATCCGACTGGGCACTCCTCGAGGGCAGAAACTGTGTCTGTTGCACTTTAAGCATGGAGCCTGGCCCAGCTCCTCCATGAGAATTTGTTGACTGACTGTATAACGGAGTTGTTGCCCAGCACCTTCTGCATGGCCGGGGGGGGGGGGGGTACAGAGCATAAAGACTGGGCCTCCATCCCAGCTCTGCCTTTGGCTTCCAGGTGATTCTCTGTGTACCATTTCTTCTATTTGCTCCATCCCGCTCTGCCTTTGGCTTCCAGGTGATTCTCTGTGTACCATTTCTTCTATTTGGACCTCCATTTCCTCATCTATAGTGCCTCCAATTCCCAAGAATCCCAAAGACACCTCTTAACCTGGGTTCCCCTGAAGGCAGAGCCTGAGACAAGGACTCAAAATTCAGGTAGATTATTTGTGAGATGCTCCTTGGAAAGAGGACCAAGGGAACAGGAGCACTAGACAGGGAAGGAGGAACTCCACCATGAGAGTGTCCCATTGAGGTCACTGCTCTAGGTCATCAGCACTCAACTCCCAGGATTATCCCCCAAAGGCTGAGAGACAGGAGCCTTCATCTGCTGGCTCTTTCCCCCGTTAGTTGAGGGTTGCTCCCAAGGGCCATAACTCCCGTGTTTCTGGGCTGCGCATGGGCTGAGTGGGCTCCTGTGGTGTGGATGAAGGTTTTGAATGGAAAGCAGAGGGTTCGTGAGGTGGAACGGGGTTGGTAGGGTTGCTCACCTACAACTGCCCACCACAGCTTCAGTGAAACTTAGGAGTAGCCTCAGGGGGGCGCCAGAGGTACCTGCTCCATCCCTATAAGGGAAGTTGCCTTGGTTTGAAGAGTTGCTCGGGAGGAATGGCAACTCCCAGTCTTCAGGAGTGGAGAGAGCCTGAGCTCACCCCCACAGCCTGCTAGCCTGATGCTTCCCCTTCATTCCAGCTGGCGTCCAACTTCCAGGCCTGTATCCGGATTAGTTCAGAGACAGAAGCGCACTTTATAGCTGTGGAGAGGATGCTGCAGTACATGAAGGTGGGACACAGGTCTGGGCTTTATGCAGGGAGATCTAGAAGGCTCACATCCAGCCTGGGGCTCAGCTTCTGTGGCCTCTGCAAGCCCCAACACCTGAGATTTTCCCAGGAGGCAGCTGGGCTCCTGGTCCTTCCTCCCCATCTCCCCTGGAACTGTGCATATCATCTCTCAGAAGCTCTTCCACACCCATTGGCTCATTTTGACCACATCCCTCATGGCATTCTTGGATGTAGAGGGAATGATCTGCGCTTTTTAGAAGTGAGAGGTTTGCACAAATATAATAATACTAATGATGACAATAATGATTGTTATTAATATTGCTTCTATTTATGTCCTAGTATTTAAGAGCCCAGATTTTGGAGCCAGATCACCTGGGTTCAGGTCTAAGCTTTTCCGCGTGAGTCAGCTGTGTACCCGTGTGAATTACTCAGCCTTTCTGCTCCCCGTCTCTGAAGTGGGACAGATCACAGTATCTACTTCATTGAGTTATTACAAAGATTAAATGACGTCACATGCAAATCACTTAGCATAGTGCCTGGCCCATAGTAAAGGTTCACTATAATGATACGTAGATTATTTCATGGAATCACAAAACAACTTAATGGGGTTGACTGAATTATTACCCCCAACATCCAGAGGAGGAGCGTTTCCTCCCAATACACCCACCGTGCTCGAGGCAGAGCTGTGGGCTTGGAGCCAGGCAGCCCTGGATTTGGGTCCCCGGTCGTCCACTCACCAGCTGTGCGGTGGTAGCATGTCATCTGACCTGTTTGAGCCTCTATTTCCTCGCCTGTGAAATCATCCAAAATTGCCTACCCCCTAGGATAGGGATCAAGAGAGATTAAGTCTGCATGAGGGCTCTGAGCTATAAAACATGCCCCACAGGGTTGAGTTAGCTCTGCTGTCCTTATTATCGTTATTCTGGATTCTGTTTCTTTAGAGTCTCATACAATAAATTAGAGAGAGTTTTCTATGTTAATAACAAGGGGACTAGCTATATGTTTTCTCACCCTTTAGTGATAAAATCATGTGCATTTCAGGTGATTTGGGGTGGGATGTTCCTCTTGGGGTGTCCTCTGATCACATGGTGGTGGCTTGACCCTGGTTCAGGGCAGGCTGGGATGCGTCACACACCCAACAGCTAGAGACCAGTGGGTCAGCAGGGGATGGGCAGAGATGGAGGATAACTACTGATTTCTTTTTCCTTCTTTAAAAATGAGATGTGTGTCTCTGAAGCTCCTTTACACATAGAAGGCACAAACTGTCCCCACGGGTGGCCGCAGCATGGGGAAATCACATTCCAGGATTATTAGATGAAATACAGAGACAACATGCCTATTGTCCTTTACAGACCCAACCTGACGATTCATGGCCAGGAAGTGGTGGGCATCGTGGGAAGGACAGGCTCTGGTGAGCTGAGTGCCTGGGGTACCCCTGTCTTCATTGTTGGCCTTTGGGTGTCAGACCTGTTTTCAGACTTGTGCTTACTCAGTGACCCCAAAGATATTTATTGGACCCTCACTTTGTGCTGGGAGAACAAAACCCAAAGTCTCTGCTGTCATGGGATTCCAGTGGAGGGGGCAGACGTTAATGGTCATCAAATAAGGAAATGAGGGGGGTGACTGACTTGGTGGTGAAGGCCGTGGGGATGGAGAGGGGTGTGTTACAGAATAACGTGGTTGGTGGGCCCTTGAGCTACAGTGGTCTGGGCTCTGAGGCCAACGTCTGCCGGGAGACAGCAAGGGTGAACAGGGTGCAGGAACGAGCGCTTCCAGCAGGGGGCGTGCAGGGCTCCGGCTCCTCTCTTCCTCCTGCCCTCCCCCTCTAGACCTCTCTAGTCAGCCCCCTCCTTCGCCACCTGTCTCTCCCCACTTCTTTCTTCTGGTTGACTTCTTTCCTCTCTTCCTCTCTATAACTTTTGGGAGATCTGACCCTAGGGTCATCCCTTCCCACTTTTTGCATTATTCAAAGACAGCACTCAGACCCCAGCCTTGTGTTCCCAGGGCTGCCTCTCCAGGTAGCCCCCCAGGATGACTGGAGCCTTGTGGGTCTCTGCCTCCTCAGGCCCCTGCACGCCTTGCACTACTGCAAGGTGAAGAGTTCCCAGCTATATTCTTTCGTGTGTTCTTCCCTTTCTACTTCTTGCCCACAGTTGGGCTGAGAGGACTGGGTCTGACATAGAGAAGCCTCAGTAGAGATGGTCCAATTGACTGTATTCATCCAGTAGGTATTTACTGAGCACCTACTATGTGCCAGGCGTGGAAACACAAAGGTGAACAAGACACATGGCTGCCCCTCACACTGACCTTATCTTTGAGAGCAGAGGTTGAAAACTCAAATGCTTTTAGGGCCCAGCAAGTAACATAGATGCATGAAATGGGCCTGGGGTGTGATGAAAGGAGGGTGGGGAGGGCAGTGCACTGCACTTGAAGGCTGTTCTCTCTCAAGGAAGCAGCTACACTCGGCTCCAGTTGCCTATTGCCCAGGGAGGTATGGGACCAGTGTTGCTGGTCCTACTGACTTTCAAGAGAAACATGCAGTTTGAATTTTTGTATATTGGGTCTTTGGATTTTTTTTAAATGCTGGCAAAGAATTCGAAAAACAACAATAACGTTGTGTGTGTGAAACAAAAAATATGTGTGGGCTGGATTTATCCAGGGGCTCCATTTGTGCCTTCTGGTTGAGGCAATAACAAGCTGCTCGTGGTTTCGGGCACCCCTTGGAGCGGAGACTCCGGGCCTCTTCTGCCCTCTCAGCGCTCATGATGACAAGGAACAGGCCACGGAGCGGGTGGGTCAGGGCTGGATGCCAGGTCAGACCTGTGCTACCCCTCCTGCAGACTCAGGAGACAGAGCCCCACAGGCTCCGTCTCCTTGTTCTTGCCCCACAGGGAAGTCCTCCCTGGGGGTGGCTCTCTTCTGCCTGGTGGAACCAAGCGCGGGCCGCATCCTCATCAATGGCGTGGACATCTGCAGCCTCGGCCTGGAACACCTGCTGTCCAAGTTCTCGGTTATCCCTCAAGATCCTGTCCTGCTGTCAGGGACCATCAGATGAGTGCTGGGCCGAGGCCAGCCTGTGCGGAGGACAGGCTCCCAGCAGGAGTTGCAGGACCAATCTCCAGGGCTGGGCTGTCTCTGGTCAGCTGTGGCCAGAGCCTCAATTTCTGGGCCTCCGCTCTCTCCTTGGCACAGAGGGCCTCTCCTGCCCACCTGACCCCTCTCTCCGAGATGTTTCTGAGGATTGAATGAGGCCCAGATATACACAAGAGCACTTTGTAAACCATGATGTCCTAAACAAAAGCCAGGCATTTTTTATTTTTAAAAAATATGATGGGATTGGTCAGATTTCAGGTCACTATTAGCATTCGCCCTGTGGCTCACCACATCCTTCCACGTATGGATGTGGTTCAGTCTCTTCTCTCACCCACTGGGTAAGGCTGACCGGGGCATTCAGGCTGGATGTTAGGATGCACTTTGCAATCCAGGTAGTCCCGTCAGTGAAGCAGGCAGAACTGGGTCTCTTAGCCTCCCCTCCATACTTTCTATTTCCTTGGAAGTCAACTCGGGGAATAAGCTTCATCCAGATTAGTGCTGCTGCTTGGTACGCGTTAACTTGTTCCAACCCAAGGCCTGGAGACTGAGGAAGAATGAGGCGTTAAAAATGAAGCTGAGGGCTTCCCTGGTGGCGCAGTGGTTGAGAGTCCGCCTGCCCATGCAGGGGACGCGGATTCGTGCCCCGGTCCGGGAAGATCCCACATGCCACGGAGCAGCTAGGCCCGTGAGCCATGGCTGCTGAGCCTGAGCGTCCAGAGCCTGTGCTCCGCAATGGGAGGGGCCGCAGCGGTGAGAGGCCTGCGTACCGCAAAAAAAAAAAAAAGAATAAATAAATAAAAATGAAGCTGGACCCCACACGTTCCAGGGATATTTAAGTGGCATTCTTAGAGGCAAGAGGATAACTTACCCCAGAGCTCTGACCATCCATTTATTTATTTTCTTGTTGTTCATTGATTCCTTCATCCTTTTACCCACTTAATTTGCCTTTTCTGAGCCTCTGCCAGGTCCAGATATTGTGCTAGGGACTGGGGACACTTTGATGAATGATTACTGCTCGTGCTCCCCCCAGAAGTTTACAGTATAGTTGGGGGTGGGGACATTGTAGAGATGTAAGACCCGTCAAATTATAATACAAGGAGGTAATTGCTAGATCAGAGATATGAACTAAGTGCTAAGGGAGCCCACAAGTAGGACAAATAACTCTGCCTGGGGGAATCCAGAAAGTCTTCTTAGAGGAGGGGGGTGGGCATTTGAGTAGGGTCCTGAAGGATAAGTAGGAGCTTGCCTGGCAGAAAAAGGGGAGAAAGTCTTTCCAGGGAGAGTGCATAATATGTGCACAGACAGAGAATTTTGTAATGCTTGTGTTGTTTTAGAGGAGTGAGATAACATTTAATGATAGATACTGTGTTAAGGTAGAACTTGGCCAAATCTATGGTGCCAAGGTATAGAAGAGGTAAAAGTATGAATTAACATTTATTGAGCATCTATATGTGCCAGCCACATGTTTTAATATTCTGTGTCATTTAACTGTCACAGCAATCCTACGAAGTAGGCACTGTTATTAACCCGTGTTTATAAGAAGAAACTGAACTTAGAGAGGAAAAGCGAAGGAGACACACACATAAATGGTAAAGATGAGATATAACCACAGGTAGTCCAACCCCTTAACCAGCGATGGTCCCCCCCTTGCATCAGGAAGAGTGGACTGGAGTACAGGAGACCTGGGTTCTCTGCCCTTTAAGTTTCCATTTATCTCTGAGTATCTTTGATTCCAGCCTGTCTCTCAGACTGACTTGTGGTGTGACCTTGAACAAGTCACTTAACACTGATAAGCCATAATTTTCTCATCAATACAAGGGGTATATCCATCTCATGGGGAAGAGGATGTCAATGAGCCCATCTGTGAAAATGCTTTGGAAACTATCAAATATCATGCAAATAGGGCATTTTACCTTCTGCTTCTTTAATGCAATCTAGCTCTACACACAAAATGTATGTGGCTGCCAGAACTGGGGAAAGATAAAGCAGAGGTTAAGAACGGGTTTCAATCGGGACTCAGTGGTTGCGTAACAGGGAAGGGTTTATAATGTTTCCTATGCCAAATGCCAGTGCAAACCTTAATAGGTATAAAGTCCAGTTAAATCCCAATCTGATGTCAGTCGCCTGGATGATCAGTTAGGATTCTTTCACTGCAAGAGACAGAAAAAGTGACCTTATACTTACTAGAATGGCTATAATAAGAAAAGAAAAAAGAAAAAGGAACATAACAAATGTTGGTGTGAATGTTGAGGAATTGGAACCCTCATGAACTATTGGTAGGAATGTAAAATGGCACGGACACTGTGGAAAACAATTTGGCAGCTCTTCAAAAAGTTAAATATAGAATTATCATATGATCCACCAATTCTGGTTCTAGGTATATATCTAACAGGGTTGAACGCAGGGCTTGAACAGATATTCGTATACCCATGTTTATGGCATTATTCACAATAGCCAAAAGGTAGAAACAACCCAAATGTCCGTCAGCAGATGAATGGATAAACAAAATGTGATATATACACACAATGGAATATCATTCAGCCATAAACAGGAATGAAAATTTCATATATGCTACAACATGGATAGACCTTGAAAACATTATGCTATAGGTGAAATAAGCCGGACATAGAAGGACAAATATTGTATATTTCCATTTAAATGAGGTACCAGGAATAGGCAAATTCACAGAAACAGAAAGTAGAAAAAAGATGACCAGGGGCTGAGGGAGCGGGGAAGGAGATTGTTTAATGGGCAGAGTTTTTATTGGTGATGGTGAGTTTTAGTGGATTGTTACATGACATTGTGAATGTACTGAACATCACTGAATTGTACACTTACAAATGGTTAAAATGATAAGTATTATGTTATGTATATGCTAACACACACACACACACACACGCACACACTCCAGGTGGCTTAAGCTAAAAGGGCCTCTTTTGGCTCACAATACTGGGAAGGTCAAGGCTGATTCAAGGGCCCAGTGTCCCGCTCACTCTTCCTTGGCTTCATTCTTGGGCTCCCATGAGGGCCCTGGGGGGCGCCATGTGTCCCACTCCCAAGACGAGATGGTTGCAGCCTCTCTCGTTCAGTTAGTGAGAAAGAACAAGCCCCCTTCCTGGTGATTGTTGTCAAAATCCTGAGATACACTCTGATTGGTTCCCTTCCCACCTCTAGCCAATCACTGTGGCCAGGGAGTACCGCGCGCTTGTTTGCTTTTACCTTGCTCCACCCTGGTGCTGGTGGTGAAGCTCCACCTGGACCACATGGGCTTGATGGCTGGGGAAGAGGTGGCCCCCAAACAAGACTTGGGGGCTGCTGCCTGAAGAAGGAAGGGGTATTGGGAAGGCACAAGAAAGACCGTTCTTGGGAGTTCAATGTGCTTCTCTGGATCCAGTAATCCAGCTCTAACCATCCTTGGTCACTTGCTGTGTGTGGGGCAGACCGCTCAATGGTCAAGGGTGCTTATTGAACCTCCTGAGGCAGGTTCAACCTGGACCCTTTTGACCACTGCACAGATGAGCAGATCTGGGATGCCTTGGAGAGGACATCCTTGAGCAAGATGGTGAGTAGCTACAAGGCTGAATTCTTGGTCTTAGCCTGATGGTCCTCTGGGCTCCGCTCATTCTGCATGGATTAAATCATCTCACGGGAGGAGATGGTTTGGGATCCCTAGACAAAGCATAAAGGCTGATGACACCAGCAGTAAGCCAGGTATGTTCCAGCTCAGAGGGCATAGCAAGGGCAAGGTAGGTACGGCTTTGCCCTCCCGATGCTTACATTCAGGAGAGACGCTTTCAGACAGAGGCAAGTGCTGTGTAGGTAGTGTTGAGACCTGCAGACTGCAGTGAGTGGCCAGGCAGGGCCTCTGTAAAGATGCACATTTAACTGAGACCAAATACTGAGGTGGCAGCTGGGCACCAATCTTTGAGGGAACATTCCAGGCACAGGAACTAGCAGATGTAAAGACCCTGAGAAGGGAGGGAGACAGGCACAGTTGAGGAAGAGAAAGGCTAGTGGCTGGAGTGTAGAGACAGACAGACAGGGGTTTGGGGGAGTGTCAGAATGTGACAGGAGAGGTACGAGGGGATTGGTTAGGGCTCACCCCACAGTGGTGCACTGGCATCTTCCCCAGTATTACAGATCTCAAAGTTGCCGCAAGGCCTACAAGCAGAAGTTGTGGAAAATGGCTTGAACTTCTCGGTGGGGTAGTGGCAGCTGCTCTGCATCACCCGGGCCCTCCTCCGCAGCTCCAAGGTGAGAGCTGGCAAGTCGTGAGGGGTCCAGGGGATACCTGGCATGGGAAACACACTGGCTCTTTCTCCCTCGGGCACATGGGACTCTGGGTGCCATGCTGGGTTCTGTCCACAAATCTGAGAAGGGTTTGCTGTGTCACTTTCTGCCATTTCATGAGCACCTGCCTGGGGAGGGGGGAGCTTCTCCACCTGGGCCTCTGGATCCTGGCATCCCGACTGCCACAGCCAAGCCCCAACGCACTTCTCCTACACGAAGCCACAAGGCTAGAAACGTATACACTCAAAACTGCCCACTGTACTTTCCTTTTAAAACTTGGATGCAGGATACTCCCTCGTCTTTATTAGAATTGAGAATCAGATGACAGCTGTTCTGGGGCAAAATGATATATATATTTAAAGTTTCATCTGACAGTGTTTCTTGAGGCTTCCCAAATATTTCACCTGTAATTTCAGGTACTACAGGGGCTAGTTAGGAGCCAACTTTCCCTGACAAGTGGGGTGATACACACACACACATATGTACACATACCCTCACACGCACACGTATGTACATACTTGCACACGTATACACATGCACGTGCAACACACAACATGGTCAATTAATGAGCAATGCAAAAAATGCTGTTGCGGACTCTCAGAGCTGTGGGGAAGAGTAGGCAAAGCTCAACAGGGCCAGAAGCAAGGAGAAAGTTTCAGAGGAGGGAGGACTTGCCCCCTCTTGCTAAGACAGAGGGGTGACAGGACTTGCGGTATGTATGTAGGACTTTCTTAACCTCTCGGTTCCGTATTTCACAGTTACTTAGCCACTTGGCTTGAAAGCTGCTTTCTCTATATAGTTTTCCAAATTTGAGTCATCACTTAATGATTTTTGTCAAATCTGCGTACCACCTACCCTGTGATTTACTCGTGATGACTTCTTTTAAAAAACGGCCTCATCTCATACAGGAGCATTTGTAAAATCACACTTTCTATGCCGGTTAGATTTTTCTAATGCATATTGTTAACGAAAGAAATACAAAAATGTTAAAGTAAAAAGTACCTTTATCTGTATACTGGCTACACCATTTCTTGTGCCACCCAGGGTGTGCGCCTGGCCACCCCCCACTTTGGGGAACATTGCTCTACATTAATTCAGACAAATAGGAAGCTGGTTCATAAAACAAGAAGTTGCCACTGGCACATTTTCATTTTTAAGAACTTAATTTTCTCGTCACTAAAAAATAGTTAGCTCTTGGTTGAGACAACATTCTCTTCATAATGTGATGGATAACTTTGAACTCATAGTGTTTTTTTTTTTTTTTTTTTTTTTTGATACGCAGGCCTCTCACTGTTGTGGCCTCTCCCATTGCAGAGCACAGGCTCTGGATGTGCAGGCTCAGCAACCATGGCTCACGGGCCCAGCCGCTCCGTGGCATGTGGGATCTTCCCGGACCGGGGCACAAACCCGTGTTCCCTGCATGGGGCAGGCGGACTCTCAACCACTGCACCACCAGGGAAGCCCTCAAAGTGGGTTTTGAACCTAGTCCAAAGATCTCATTTTCCAGCTAAGGTACTTGGTGAACTAGTGGTAGACCCAGGACTAGACCCAGGTCTCGGCCAGAGGAGGCTGCCTTCACCCCTGTTTCGTATCCATCACATCATCCTTATTGATGAGGCCACAGCCTCCACTGACTTGGAGACGGGCACCCTGATCCAGCGTACAACCCGTGAAGGCATCCGGGGCTGCACAGTGCTGATTATCGCACACCGCGTCACCACCATCCTCAACTGTGACCGCATCCTCGTCATGAGCAACAGGAAGGTGAGGGGGCACCCCTGGGGCCACTGGGAGGATGGCGCCCAGGCCAGTGCCACAAGAGGCCTTCAGGTCCCTCAGGACCGAGCTCAGCTGTGCCCCCGCCCCCTCCCCTCCTCTCTCCGCCTCCCAGGCGGTGGAGTTTGACAGGCCTGAGGTCCTGCAGAAGCAGCCCGGGTCCATGTCCGCAGCCCTGCTGGCAACAGCCAGTTCTTCGCTGAGCTCAGGAGAAGGGAGACCGCAGTGAAGGCAGGTAGCCGAACCCATCACGGTGCACGGGAGCCGCCTGGGAGGCTGCAGCCTGCGACCTCCTTGGCAGAGACAGCTGCTTCTCTGGAAAGCAGGGCTGGAACGTGCTTGGGGTGCTGGTGATGGGAGGGAAAAGGGCACTGAGGGAGCAAAGCCTAGAATAGGGTACCTTGTGGCTCCCCAAACCTGAGAACCCCTGCACCACTGAAGACCGTGGGGTCAAATGACCATGTGTCTCTTTTTAAGTGATACATTGAGGAATCTCATAATAATGGTAAAGCTTATTAATAATAGTTCCTGATCGGTGTTAAAAGTTTTGCAAATGATATACTGACGTTGTAAAAAACTGAAAGAAAAAGTCACATTCTCAGTTCTGCTTTCTCTGTTAGCTGGTACTCATTCAGCTACAGGGAACAGAAACGCTCTTAAGCTTTCTGGTAAAAGGGACCCTATTAGCTCATGTAATGGAAAGTTCCAGAAAAAGTTCTGGGTTGAGTGCCAGTATCAAAATGATGTCTGCCTTGCAGACTCTGCCTTTCTTCTCTCAGCTCTACTTTTCTTTGCTTGGCTTCACTCTCTGGGCTTCTCTCCTCATGGTGGCAGTATGGCTGCCAGCAGGTCTAGGCTCACGTCCCACCAGCTCAGTACTCCAGAACTTCTTTCTCCAGGGATTCCAGCAGAAGCTCCAGGGCTAAATCTCACTGGGCCAACTTGGGTCATGTACTAATCCCCGAACCAGTCATGTGCTAGGCTGCTGGAATACAGTGATGGGCCAGGCCCGAGTCACACGCTCACACCTGGGCCTGGGGATGGAGTCAGCTGCCCTGAATGAATCACGTAGACAGAGAATGGAGGAGGTTTTTTCCCCAAAATAAAATTGGGGTGTTCTTACTATGGTAAGGAAGAATGGAAACGGATGCTGGGCAGGCCCAAAACAGTAGCTGTCTACCATATGTTTGTTTACTAATTGGAGCATAGATGGGTGAAATAAAGAGTTAATTTATAACATATGCCAACTGGAAATAAGATTATTTGTCGCCCCCCTACCCTCAAGTGGTTATAGATATATATAAATAGAAAAGGTAATTATTTTCAATTTACTTCTAGAGAGGCCTTATTGTTCAGGGGGAGTATGTTTCAAAGCACTTTCCTTTTGTCTTCAGATTAGTGTCCGATTTTGCCATAAGAAAAATCAATTCCATAAACAAGTATTTCTGTTGCACTGGGGTGGGTGCTGGGGATGTAATGCCATGAGGTTCCTGCCCTCATATAATTTGCCCTCCAGAGAGTAAGTAGTAAACAAGTAAACAGGAGGTTCCAGAACCAAGTGACAGGAGGCAGGGACAGGGCGCAGGAGATGGTGGCAGTCAGAGCAGGCTTCCTGGTGGAAGCGAGGTTGTGCTTTACTGAGACCTGAAAAATGAACAAACATTTGCTCAGATGAACGGGATTAGGGCAAGGAGGACTGTCCCAGGCAGAGAGAACAGCAAACAAACCCCTGTGGGAATGAACTACGACAGAGCTGATGCAATCACTGGACCTGGAGCTAGTGACACGTGTGCATCACCTCTGTGCCCTTCCTGGTTCTTAGGCAGCACCCCCTTCTCTTCCCAGGGTGTTTCCCGGCTAAATGTCTTCTCTCTCTTAGGAATCCTTCTGTTTGGTTGATCGCCTCCCGCTTTGTCCTTGCATTTTTCTTCTTGGGCCATGAAGAGGGGCCCCTCCTGCTCCCAGCCTGGCTTCAGGCTTGCAGAGCCGCTCGTCGGCAAGTTGAAGGTCACTCTACACTCCCTGCCCTGCCCCCTCCCAGAGCTGCCTTGGCGGCAGATGCCTGAGTCCTGTGTGAGAAAGTGCTCTACACGCACAGGGCCGATACTTGGCCCCAGTGTCTTTCCTTAGACCTGTTAGCTGCCTGTTTTCCTTCAGTGGGCCAGCAGATGGCAGGCTCTTCCCAAAAATGTGGGGATGGTCTGCCGGCTCCAGATCTATTGGGTTGGCCAGAAAGTTCGTCCGGGGTTTTCAGTAAGTTAGCGTTTTTTCAGTAAGGTGTGATGGAACGACCGAACGAACTTTTTGGCCAACCCAGTAGCTCCACTGAGAATCCCTTAGAGCAGGGGGTCCCCACCCCTCGGGGCCGGGGACCGGTACCGGTCCATGGCCTGGAAGGCACTGGGCCGCACGGCAGGAGGTGAGCAGGGGAACCAGAAAGAAGCTTCATCTGCCGCCCCCCATCGCTGGCATTAACGCCTGAACCGTCTCCCTGCCCCCCGCACCACCCCCGGCCCGTCCAGGGAAACACTGTCTTCCACGAAACTGGTCCCTGGTGCCAAAAAGGTCAGAGACCGCTGCCTTAGAGGACAAGAACTAGAGCCCATTTCCACTCGGGCTTCAGGGCCTCATCCCACCTTCCCCCCAAGCAGCCTCCCTTGGGGTGGGGGGAGGGAGTTCTCAGTCTTGGCAGCACGCTGGAGTCTCCCACAGTGTTTAAAACACCCTGATTGATGTCCACTCCTAGGTGGTTTGATTTCGTTGGTTTGGGGTAGAGACCATTGGGATTTTTAAAGCTGTAGGTGGATCTAGTGTGCAGCAAAACTTGAGAACCATTGGCTCCAAGCAGCAATAAAGTAGATTTATTTGAAAAATCGTATATCGGGTTTTTTCAACAGTATTGGAAATATTTTATTCCTTAAGTTGAGTGATGACTATATGAGTTTGTTTTCTTTAATTCTTTTTTTTTTTTTTTTTTTTTTGTGGTACGCGGGCCTCTCACTGCTGTGGCCTCTCCCGTTGCGGAGCACAGGCTCTGGACGCGCAGGCTCAGTGGCCATGGCTCACGGGCCCAGCCGCTCCGCAGCATGTGGAATCTTCCTGGACCGGGGCACGAACCCGTGTCCCCTGCATCGGCAGGCGGACTCTCAACCACTGCACCACCAGGGAAGCCCTTCTTTAATTCTTTATATATTTGTGGGCATCTGAACTATGTTATAATAAAATTTTTAAAAATTAATATTTGATATTTCAAAAATAACATAAAAATAATTGTAATAAGAGAATGTAGCTCTACTTCCGTATATTTACTTAATGGTTTGCTATTACTTGTAGTTTCAATTACATCCCTGTGGGGCTGGGGGTGTATTTTTAGTGTCCAGGGGTTCTAAAGGCTCCATCTGTCCTCAGGGCCTAGCCCCACTCCTGGTTGAGTGCTGTGGGCAGACTTCAACACAAGCTATGTGATGCCGTGCAGTGACAGCAGGCAGACGTACAGATCAAAGGAGACAGTCGTCCTGCTGGCCCTGGCCCTGGCCTGCCCTCTGTCTCCAGCTCTGGACACTGTTTTAAAGAGAAACACTATTAAGTGGAGGCTCTTCAAAGGATGACCACTAGGGGTCCTGAACCATGGTGTGAGAGGGACCAGGAAGGAAGAGGCAGTCTTCACTTTCCTGCACGGCTTCTTCTAGAAGCAGCTCCAGAGGGCAGCCCCAGGCCAAGGGGCATGAACATTCTTTCATCAGAAATGTCTGGCTAGGGAGCTCCCCCTGGTCGGAAACCTTTTCTGACTTGGACAGCTCTCCCCTGAGCAGGGCTAGGGGCACTGTTGATATCCCCAGGCTCGGAGAGGGTTTCCACAAGACTGAGTGCCGGCAGGGATTCTTAATGCGTGGGAAATCGGACTAGATAACTTCTAGGGGGTATGTGACTCTGGGATGCCATGGTGAACGTAATAATGCCAATGGCAGGGGTTCTTAAGCTTGAATGAGCATCAGAATTGCCTGCAGGGCTAAACACAGCTTGCCAGGTCCCCTACCCCCACATACTTTCTGATTCAGGAGGTCTGGGGTGAGCCTTGAGAATTTGCCTTTCTAACAAGTTCCCAGATGATGCTGATGCTGGACCCAGCACCACACTCTTAGAACCCGGGGTTCAGCAAGATCACTCTGTCCCGTGTGCTCTAGACGGCAAACGTTCAAACCCTCATTCTAATGTGTTCCCCAGAGTTTCTGTGCATTTTCAGGACACTTTTATTTTTATGACCTTTTTTGGTTCAGACCTCTGGAGCAACTCACTGGGCCGTACAGACTCTTCTTTTCTACATCACATTGACTCAGGAGAACTCAGCACTTTCCCTTATTTCCTTTGTACGTGTAGATGACTTCAATGAAGGTTGGGCCAAAGGGGAGTTTCAATCCCAGTCTCCTCCGTGCTGCTCACCAGCACCCTCTGAGTTCTTTCTGCTTCCACCTCCCAGTCCCTGGCACGTGCTACACAGAGCAGTTTAGTTCTTGCTGTTGATGCCTTTTCCTCCCAAGCAAGTCCTCAGGGTCTCATAGCTTATCTCAAGAGACAGGTCAAGGCAGTTCTCTAAACAAAAATCAGTTTCCACCTTACAACAGGTGCCAGCTCTTTTTTTTTTTTTTTTTTTTTGGTACGCGGGCCTCTCACTGTTGTGGCCTCTCCCGTTGCGGAGCACAGGCTCCGGATGCGCAGGCTCAGCGGCCATGGCTCATAGGCCCAGCCGCTCCGTGGCATGTGGGATCTTCCCGGACCGGGGCACGAACCTGTGTCCCCTGCATCGGCAGGCGGACTCTCAACCACTGCGCCACCAGGGAAGCCCAGGTGCCAGCTCTTAAGACAGTAACATTTCACCCCCATTATCTTACATGTCCTATTCTATCCAAGTCTGTGGAATCCAACTATTTCAGAGTCAGAAGCAACTTCAGAGATTGTCAATTCAGATGTTCTTAGCCTGTGGTCCATGGACTCCTTAGCTAGATTCAGGGGAGCCATGAATTTGGATGGGAGAAAAATGATGTCTTTATTTTTAATAACTGAAATTTTACTAACAGAAATTTCCATTGATTATGAAGGAGGCAACAAACTCTAATAGTATCAGCACTACCTGTGACTCTTCGTCCTCAACAGAAGTATTCTCAAACCTCATTTCCATTGTTTCAGATGCCTCAAAATATCATTCGTATGCATCACTGCTTTGAAATTATA